ATATATATATATATATTTTTTTTCAAAATTAGTTTTATTTTCTGGAGATTTATTTTTTTTTAGATGTTTTCGTTTCGAAGGGGCATCCATTCCACAGCATGTAGTTGTGCCGTGCTCACTCCTCTGAATCACGACGCAGGTATCTCTCGATCACCGGCTGGAAGTCATCCTCCATCGACTCTCCTCTTTCTGCAGGCCCAGCCTCTGAGGAGGAATTGAAGGTCATCGCTTTCTATGCAAAGCAACGGGTTCGAGGATTTCTTCTAGCAGCTTGGGGCTGATGTCCGGCCGGCGCTTCAATGCCGTCGCAGCATGGACCCAAATCTTTTCCAGCGCTTCTGTACGGAGGTCAAACACGTTGAACCTGTCGGCCAGGGCGACAAGTTCACAAGCGTCCTCTGGGGTCAAACCCTTCTTGAAAGCCTGCATGCAGAGCTCGTGGAGTCGTTGGATCTGATATTTGCCCGCTAGCGCTGCCACTTCAACAAGCCCTGAAAGAGGGCCTTTCACAACACCAGAGTACAGGGAACGAAGGAAAGTCTCCACCGCCCTGCTGGAGAAGTCTTTAATGACCACCTCAGCCTTGTGGTGCTCCGAATTGATCATCTTGTCGAAGACCAGGGACCATCTGGTCAGCAACGGAGACCACACCTTGAACTCCGTCCACTGTCCCTCCGCTCCATTGTTGCCATCCGCCTGCTCTTCCGATTCCACTACCACCGTGAAGTCACCACCACGGCCGAAGCAGTCTTCAAAGATGGTCGCAGCTTAGGCGGTGTCTCCTTCAAGGGCAGTGGCCATGGCTTCCCTTCCTCGAAATTCCGGCTCCTGAGCCTGGCTAGCGGATAGCCCGAGGATGTCGCGGCGCCGCGGCTTGGCAGAGCAGCGGACCTATCCGCGGTTGGGGCACAAGTCGCTTTGGGCTCGGGGCTTTGTGGCTTCGCCTTGAAAGCTCGAGATGCTGAGCCCAAAACGGCGAACGCATTAACTCGGCTTTCCGAGCTCTCTGAGGCTCCAGAAAAACCTGAAGGCGCGGGTTTCCGAAAACAGGGGACCCTAATATAGTACCCTAAATAGTAGGATCCCTATTATAAGGACCCCCAATAAGGTACCCT